TTGAGAGGATTTGAGTCTTCAGTGAAGTTCAACAATCTTCAGGGAAGTTCAGCGCACTTCAGATATGTGGAGAAAACTTCAGGAATATTTCGAAATTCTAGGGAAGTTCAGACAATTTCAGAAACATACAGCAAACTAAAGAAAAGTCCAGTTTTCTGGAAGTTCCGAATTTTTCAATAAACTCAAAGTACTCCAACGAAACTCACAGTGTTTTAACGAAGACAACAAATCAAAAAGACTGGCACCTTTGCCAGAATCCAAGCGACAGATACACTAGCGCTGCACTTGAGTGAAGGTGGAAGCAACGCATAGAAAAATGAGCAAATACACAAACCCTTCTTCTGAGGATGTAATCTTTGCTGTCAAATTCGTTCGAAGCATGTACCTTTGAGCGGCAGATGCCGCGATTGTACCTGTCTCATAGCGTTTGTATGAGAAAATGGAAGAGTTGCCAGTCTTCTTGATTTGTTGGGAATATAATGGACAAAAACGTACATAAACTAGATTGTCTCATGATGAATATTTCACTTGAAACTGGTCAATACTGGCTCCAGAAACCGCTCTCCCGCCAAACCTTTCATTGCGTGTTGATGACATCTGGCGGTAAATTTTTAGTACATGCCGCGACAATTCCACATTTCGTTGCCATTCCACTTCCTTTTTTCCTGGGTTCGGTGCTTTACTCTGCAAAATGAACTATTTAAAAATTACATTTCAAATAGCAGTTTAGTACAAATTTAGTACAATTATTTGTCGTACCAAAAGATGGAGTCTTTTATTCCCAAACATTCCCAAAGACACAAAATCACTAAAATGACTCGTTTTGGAGTTATCAATTATGATCCGCTAGATTGCATTCCACTGTGGCATTGGAATCTGAGAGGGTGCTGCCATCCAATTGGGTTCTTTAATTTAAAAACAAATATCGTTTTTTTACAATCCTCTGAAAGAGCTTCATTTTCTGAGCACAACGATATTTGTTTTTGAACCCATAGACTTTCATCTCGATTTTGAATTCAATAATGAAGTCTGTGAAAGGGAAATCACCGACGAACCGACATACCACAGGAGCATTTCGTTTGTCCACAATTCGAATTGTCAAACGAGCGATTCGAACTTTAAAACGGGCGATCAGATCTGTCAAACGAGGTGAGACGCAAACCAAGGCAATATACATTATGTACGTGGGTTCGTACACGTACATAATGTATATTGCCTTGGTTTGCGTCTCACCTCGTTTGACAGATCTGATCGGCCGTTTGAAAGTTCCAATCGCTCGTTTGACAATTTGAATTGTGGACAAACGAAATGCTCCTGTGGCACGTCGGTTCGTCGGTGATTTCCCTTTCACAGACTACACAATATAGTACCTAGTCCTGAAAAAAAAATGTGGAGCCCTTATTTATGCAATTAGATTTCTCCATCCAGGGGCGGAGCTTGGCAAGTATTTTTGTCGTAGAATATGTAAAAAAGGAGGGACTCCGGACGTTAATCTAGCTGCATGTATAGAGGTACCATACATGTTTTGACTGCACTGCCATCTGTTAACAATTAATGGAACTGATTGTAAGCGTATTTTCTGATAGATGTCACCATTAAGAACAGCAGTGACATCTGAAGGGTAATTAACGCAGAAGCATGGTAACATGATTAATTGTCTGGGCAAAATAGCATTTTATATTGGATGCATGTAGAAGAAATTGTACATTGGAACTCCTTGAAACTTTTGATCCTTGATATTTTTTTAGAATTAGAGGTTTTGAAAGTGTCCTTTTTGGGACCTATCGAAATCGGTTCCGAGAATTCAGATGTGGCCAGATCCACTTGTCGGTTCATGACATGATTTTTTTTATTCTGGTTGAAAAATCATAAGTTTTGAGCCTTCGGACGGTACTAAGTACAGGACATTTTGGAAGTGTGTTTTTTTAGCCCTATCCGAACCGATTCTGGGTATCCAGATGTGGCCAGATTTACCTGTTGGTCCATGGGATAATTCCTATATACTGCTGGATGAAGAATCATAAATTTTGAACCGTCGGACGGTACCAGTACATGAGGTTTGGAAGTTTCCTGTTTGGGACCCTATCGGGACCGGTTCCGGGTATCCAGATGTGGCCAGATCCACCGGTTGGTCCATGCCATGATGTCTATTTACTCATGGATGAACAATCATCCATTTTGAGCCACCAGACGGTACCAGCACATGAGGTTTTGGGAGTGTCCTTTTTGGACCCCTGCTGGAATCACATCTGGGTATCCGGATCTAACCAGATCCACCTGTTTGTTCGTGGCATGATGTCTATTTACTCATGCATGAAAAATCATTTCGAGCCGTCGGACGGTACAAGTAGATGATGTTTTAGTGTCCTTTTTAAGACCCTGCCGGAATCGGTTCCGGGTATCCAGATGTGGCCAGATCCACTTGTTGGTCCATGCCACGAAGTCTGTTTACTTATGGCTGAAAAATCGTCAATTTTGAGCCGTCGGGACGGTACCAGTAGATGAGGTTTTAGAAGTGTCCTTTTTGGGGCCCTATCGGAACCGGTTCCGGGTATCCAGGTGTGACCAGATCCACCTGTGCGTTCATGGCATGATATCTATTTACTTATGGATGAACAATCATCCATTTTGAGTCGTCGACCGGTACCAGTACATGAGGTTTTGGAAGTATCCTTTGGCGCCCTATCGGAACCGGTGCCAGGCAGCCTAAATAGCCAAATTGGAGAAATCCTGATCTGAGTGCCATTCTATGAACTTTTATCTTTAATTTGAGGCCAATAGATCAAGAATCCAGTCGAACATTTATTTTTGGAAGCGAGTTGCAGTCTGGGTCTTTTTTGATCCGCTAATGCACATGTGTCACTTTATTTGTAGCGCCGCTCGTAGAGCTTCTTTTGACAGCAAAATGTTCATTTCCTAAAGTTAGGAAAAGTCAGGAAATTTCTGGTCGCTATCATATTTTGTTACAGAGTTACAGTTATTTTTTAAGTGACGCCGGGTCTTGGAAGGTTAACTCAACATCTTGACTAGATAGAAGGTTCCTGTCTTCGGCAAAGTTGTTCAGATGGAATACCGTTTCTTCGCAACAAAAAGCATTTTTGATTTATCCTAAGATTAAGTGACAATGGAGCTCCACCAAATCCAGCTGTTGAGTAAACTCAGGTCTAGTCTATATGAATTACATTGCTGAAGACAAAATAAGTAACGTGGAAGCAAATAATTGCAAATGTAATGCTAAAGTTGCCAACTGGTGAGTAAATTTTGAACTGCACTAGCCCATCTGAACAACTTTGCCGCAGACAGAAACCTTGTATCTAGTCAAGATGTTGAGGTAAAGCAAATTCAAAATCAATGGCACACTAGCGCTGCCTGGTGAGTGAATTCTGAACAAAACTGTTTACCCTGGAATAGGTCTAGTCCATCTGAACAACTTTTCCGAAGACAAAAAACTTCCATAGGAACAGGTCTGTAGATATAAGATTTCATCTAGTATTATAGAATTCTACTGGACACACCTAGTCACGAAATAATTAGTAAAATTCATCGGCAAATAAAAAAATTACAGCCTGTCAAAGTGGCCGGGTATCAAATTGGCGTAAATTTAAGCGCAATATTGCATAAAACTACAATATATTATACAAGCTTGTGATCAATTTCGATGTTTATACCTACTGTAAAAATTCAAAATTTGTGACGTAAAACTACGTCTTTGTCTTCTATATGGGGGTACACTTTGCGAGTACGAAAAATGAACATGTAACGAATAGTGGTCAGGTTTTGATCGATTATAACTGGGCTATTTTATGATAGATTTTCCATATTTTTGCATCATTCGTTTTGAATTTTCTCTACGTATCGATTTCAATAGGTAAAACTAATCATTTTCAACAAATATTTTTGAAAAATTGATGATCGTCAAGCATTATCTAAAGCATCGTGAAAATCAAAAAATCAATTAATCACGAGCATTTTGCTTGAAATAATGATTTACTCGAAATAGTTTACATTTAGAAGCGTAGTACTACGTCAACAATTCGTACAACCCCATAGGGTTGTCCCTTGTAGTTTTTTTTTCTGTGTATAGACGCCAAAAACTGGCCAGAAAAAGCACAAGAAAACTGTCAGAAAACACCAAAAGAAACATTGAATCGCATTAACGGTTATTCAATAATATTCACGAAAACACCAACACGACCTTCAAATCGGTAGAAATTCCTGCTTGTAATAAACCAAAACAGTAATCAGCGGCCAAAATAACCATACTAAGCAACCAAAATAGCCTCAAAATAACCTTAAAACGCCAAAAGCTGCCTTACAAGCATGGCCTGCCTTCGCCAAAATAACTTTTAATTCTACACTCAAACCAGTCGCCTGGTTTTGCCCGTAAACAACATAACCCTAATTGAACAAAAATCTTCTTCCTTCCACCTGTTGCCAAGTAAGAACCACAGCGCAAAGCGACCAACCAGAAGGAAATGCTACGCTCTAATAATCACCCCGCTTCGAGTGCATAGAAAAGAAAACCTCAACCACAAAGCTCTGCTAATCAAACCAACGCGCTGAGAACTTTTCCCTCCCTTTAGGTCATTCCAGTTTCGCTCAGAAAAGAAAAAAAAAACATTCTTTCACAACGCACATCCGTCACCGTCATGAAAGTGATACCCATTTACAACCATCGCCAAGTAACCGTCGTTCGCTTGTCGAGGAGTTCGTCGCTTGTTGCTTGTCTCTCGCTCTCTTTCATTCGCGACGGTTGGAACGCGGATAGCAAATAGAAAGTGAAAGCGGCAAACTTCGCGGAAGGCGAGAAATTGGTGCAGAGAGTAGTGAATCAAAACCGTGAATGACGTAAGGCTTTTCGCCAGCCTGCCTGCCTGGCTGTGTGTGGATTTGAATTATTGCGCCCCAAAGAATGTTTTATATAACTCCGATGAAGCCATGCGATGCCGGGCCATGATTAATGGAATAATTCTGTTTTCTCTCCTTTTGTTCGTGAATAGGTAATGGAAAACCGGCGACGATCGTCGTTCGGGTGGGCAACAACCGTCCGGACTTGGGTACCAATCCGATTTGCAATCGCTTCACCGGTAGCCTGGAGGAAGGACAGCCCCTGTTCCTGCCGTGCAATCCACCGATGCCGGGAGCATTCGTCTCGGTTCACCTGGAGACGAACGTCCCGAGTCAGCTGTCGATCTGCGAAGCGTTCGTCTATACGGATCAAGCGTTGCCCATCGAGCGGTGTCCAGCGTTCCGAGATATGCCGCCGGGTGCATCGGCATCGTACAATGGAAAGTGCTACATCTTCTACAGCCGGCAACCGGCCACGTTGAGGGATGCGCTGGCATTCTGCAGATCCCGCGGAGGTACACTGATCAACGAGAGCAATCCGGCACTGCAGGGATTCATCAGCTGGGAACTGTGGCGCAGGCACAGGAGTGATACCTCGTCGCAGTACTGGATGGGAGCGGTAAGAGATACCCAGGATCGCAACAGCTGGAAGTGGATCGGCGGAGACGATGTGTCTGTTTCGTTCTGGAATCTGCCCGGAGGCGATGAGGATTGCGCCAGGTACGACGGCTCCAAGGGATGGCTGTGGAGCGATACCAACTGTAATACGCAGCTGAATTTCATCTGTCAACATCGTGAGTAGCGCGGGGGTTAAGGGTTTTTTATGTGGGGTTGCATAATGGTTTGTTTGTGAATTGCAGAACCCAAGGCTTGCGGGCGTCCGGAACAGCCACCAAACTCGACAATGGTTGCCCCGAAGGGCTTCGACGTGGGTGCCGTCGTGGAGTACAACTGCGATGAAGGACATCTGCTAGTAGGACCCTCGCAGAGAACTTGCCTGGAAACTGGTTTCTACAACGAATTCCCTCCCGTTTGTAAATGTGAGTTGTCTTGGACGTTTGAAGTTGTGTGTAGGAAATTAATCGATTTTTTTTTCAGATATTGAGTGTGGTCTACCGGCTGCGATTCCACATGGACACTACCACCTGGTGAACGGATCCGTCGGTTATCTTAGCTCGGTTCAATACAAGTGTAACGAGGGATACGAAATGGTGGGACGAGCTTTACTGACATGCGACATTGACGAACGCTGGAATGGACCACCACCTCATTGCGAAGTGATCGAATGTGAATCGCTGCCGACGTTGTTCCCGAATGGAGTTATCGTGGCTCCAAATGGTACAGTTTACGGTTCCCGAGCGGAAGTTGACTGCAACCGTGGATACATACCGGAGACCGTAGATACGGAGATTGTTTGCACAGCTACCGGACAGTGGAGTAATTTGCTGCCGAAGTGCGTTGAAGACCCGGCAAGCAGAACGTCAACGGCTGCTCCTACCACGACTCGCGCACCGATTGTGATCGTATCGACAACTACAGTTCCAGTTACTCAGAAGCGTCCACAGACGAGAAAGCCCTCTAGGCCAGCTATTCGGTTTACAACGACTTCGTCGACGACCCAATCGCCACTGTTTAGCATCGAGATCGACGACGGTAACGATAGCGATGGCTTAGACGGGTTCTACGTCGGTACTAACGAGGATTACTCTCTCCCACCTCTAGAAGTCCGTCCGGGCCTAGCGCACGAGGAAGGACCCTCGCGTAAACCGTACCGCCCCGGTCAGAACACAATACCAAAGATTCCAACCGTCCAGCACGTGCCTCCGAAACGGCCGTCATACTACGAACCACCAACTACTACCACTACTACCACAACAACAACCACTACCACTACACAAACACCACCACCACCACCACAAACACGACCTACCACTACCAGTACACGGCAGACTACCACTTCGCGTTCCCCGCAGGACATTATCCTGTCGCAGCACCCACAAGACAACGAAATAGCCGGCTCCGTCAACATCCGGCAGGATCAATCACCGAAGGTGAACGTACCATTCGCCGTCGATAACTCCGACGGCGAGGGTACCGGCGGAGTCTACGGCGGCGTCGGAGGCAACTCGAACCTTGGCTCCGGTTCCGGTGAACGGAAGGAAGCCAAGAATGCCCGCCTCAACCTGGGAGCCATCGTGGCGCTCGGCGCCTTCGGTGGATTCGTATTCCTAGCGGCCGTCATTACCACCATTGTGATCGTAGTGCGAAGGTGATTTGCTTGTTTATGAACCGACCACATGAAAACATGAAAACACCACTACCACCACCACCACCATTCACACATCCACATCCAAATTCAAAATAACGAAAGAAACCTAACCAGATCCGGAACGTCCGAAAAAGAAAACCCGTTATGTGACACGGATGCATGCACACACCCACACAGTCACACCCGAGTTTAGATGCTTGCCGTTTCCGAACGATCGCAAAACTGTATTCTTCCCTAGATACTCCCCCTATCCCTGCTGATCAAGCTAGCTATCCCTTTTTTTTTTTTGATTTTCTACATTTCCGTGGTTGCAGTTATTAAAAACTCCCCCCTTTGCATGTACCTGGAACCTATCCCTTAAACACCTAGTTCCACCGCCACTGCTACTTTCCTCTTTCACTCTCTATCTATCTCTCTTTATGTTCTAGTGTTTAGTTTTAAGCCACGTCTACTAAGTACTCCGTGAGAACAGAATGAACTCTCACCAATACACTCTCAAACACTCACACTCTCACTCAACTCTGCGCCTGCTTGCGACTTCTCCTATCCTTCCGATTCTCGTGCTATCTCTGTTCTTCCAAACATCTTTCTATCTTCTGCCGAAAGAGATCAACAATAGACACACTCAAACAAAACATCAACACCCACAATCACATCCACCACCACCACCACCATCACAATCACAATCATTTGTTTTGAAAACCAAAATATCAACAACAAACCGTGTTTTTGAAACCATATGAACCGACCATTAAAAGTACCTCTCCTCCTTTTCCCGCATCTTGTTATGTGTTCCACAACCACCACCACCAAAACCATCACAATCAAAATAACTGTTGCAAACCAATCACAACCATCAACTGATAAAAAACCAACAACAACAACAACAACAACGACAACCATTGGGTAGAATGAATACATTATATTCAACGGCGAGGGCACACAAGAAGAATACATTCTCCTACTCCTAGGCACTAGGGAGAGAACTAGAGAGGCCGTGACCAAATGACACAATGATCGAGAAGACCTCCACGAACAAAAAAAAACAAAATCCCAATCAGCAACATCCTCCAAGAGCACGGTCACAGAAAAGTCACGAGAGATTTCAATATCACCGCTTCTACCAAAGCCTACTATCTGTCAATCTGTCCGTCTGTCTCTCACTTCAATCTATCCCTCTATCATCTTCTCTTCTCTGCGCTCACGCACATTCTGCGCTCAACTCACGCAAGAGATTGCAACCAGAAGTACGAAGAGCAAAGACAGTGGCTCCATCTCCAAAGAGATCCAAACGTTCTTCTTCCTATTTCCCTCCAAAATGCAAACAAAAACTGCCAAAACGAAGATTTCCATTAATCTATTGTTTACTGCCTTGCCCTCCAATGAAAACCTCGCTCATCCCGCAAAAACCCCGTAAACAATCCCCGAAAACTTCATAACCAACTCCGTAATCCAACCACACCGCCAACCCAGTTCATCGCCGGATCATCCGAGCGGCAGCCCCGGTAGCATCCCAATGCGCTGCTATCTTCCGAGGGCCGCCGATTCGCTACGACCAGCGGCACGCCGCTTTTTCTCCCAAGCCACTTCCGGTGTGAACACCACTGGCACCACCGCCACCGGAAAGTACTACTTCTCCGATACTACCAAGTCACGAGATTTGAACAACAACGCCCCGTCCAATAACAACAACAACAACAAGAACAAGAAAGACAAAAAGGCAGCCAAGGGCTCTAAGGACGGCCCTCAGGTGCCCTCGCGTTGGTATACTGTATTGGCACTACCATTCCCAGATCAGACCGTCGGACGTCGGGACATTCTCGGTACGGCTTATGGACGTCGTCGTCGGCAGCAGCTAGAACAGCAGCAACAACAACGAGAAGACGAACGACCGCGGGTACTACGGCCAAAGAAGTCAACGCCTTCGCCTGCCCTGTCGTCGCCACCGCCAACCAAAACCGCGGTCAACCACCTACGGTTGTTTTCGAACAGCGCAGAGCTCAGTGATTCCGTGAGTAGCGTTGCTGGGTCGCCGCGCTTCTACCGGCGACCGCCAACCCTCGAGTACTATCGCTCCGATTCGCAGCCCTCGTTATGATCACTCTTAAGGCTGCTTGAAGGCACAGAGCCACTGCAGGCATCACCACCAACGCCGCAACACCATCGCCATCTGCGCTTCTACCGACGCCATTACCACTATTACAAACACTACCTTAATCAAACGACGTGCCATAACCATACCAATACTAACGTACAAATTCGTAACCATACAATGTAAGAACCTACCGCTAGTTCCATTATTATGCCTCTCACCTCACTACTACTCACTCACTGTCTCTAACTCTCTATCCCTAGTCTGCCTCCGTTGTAGTACACACTCTGCCTAACGCTTCTTCCTCCTTCCATCACCTAACCCGAAGCCATACCGCACTACCACCCCGTAGCTATAGTCTTGTAGTTGACAGGTCTGCACTAAACCACCACCAGTATTCTCTTCTCGCTATCCACTATCCGTCAATCGAAGCGCACGGTCGAACACTCTCAGCTCTGATCCTTTCAACCTGGTCAGAAGCCTCCAGCGCGCTTCGATCTATCTATCCGCTATCCTCACCTATCTACCATTCATCTTCCACTAAAAACCCAACACCTAAACTCTAGTGTATCCACAAAGATCATCTCAAAAAGCAAAAAGATCGTCACCATGCTCCCGCAAACGCCAATCCAAGTTAAAAAAAAAAAGAAAAAGAAAACGAAAACTCTCCCCCACTTCCCCTTCTTGTTTTCTGTTTCTACCTCCACCTGCAGAGAGACCAACAAGCGCTTCCATACTTCCAGAAACCGCCAGGCGAACCAGCACTACCGCCACCGGGCCTCCCCCGACTGCAACACGGTCGCCTCGTTCTCCAGCTCCAGTTCCGAGTCACGAAATGGCCTCAACCGGTACTACCGCCAGGCGTGGGAAAACCTGCACGAGTCCGCCTCCAAGGGCCACAACAGCAACCACAGCAGCGGCCTGAAGCGGAAGGAGACGATGGACGCACCACCGCCAAGTCGGTCCCGTTCCCGGGAAAACCTGGGCGGGAGCCGATCGCGTGATCTGGATAGGTGAGTTGACGACCCTTGTACTTGCGATTGGATGGTTCTTCTTCTTTTTTTTCCTTTTGGGGTGTTCTTGGAGGAGGGTGATCGATGACTTCGGGAAAGACTCTAGGCGTCGGTAGATGCCGGCAATACACTCAAAAAAATCTTGCAATGGTCGGAGTGGAGGCCTTCAACGACTTCACAAGACCAATCCATAGGCTATCAACTGATTTCAGAATGAGCTGAAATGACCTCAGAAAGGCATTAAAAGAGATCGATGACAACGATAACCTGCAATGCACTCAGACGATGCTGGCAGTGATACGGCGGGGTCTATAAAACAGGTTGAGTTGGTCATAAGAGCCCAAAAAAAAAAACATTTTGATGATCTGGCTCAGATAAAGCCTGCAGTGGCCACGGAAAATCCGTGAGTTTCCCAGTATATACTTAGACGTCAGAATGACTTTGATTATGAAAGAGGCCTGTTGTAATGCGAATTGGGCCTTGAACGACTTGGAAGTTTGCATTGAACAAACTTATCAAATTTATTGCAAGAATGATCTCTAGAAGGGTTACATGGACCTACCAAAACCATTGAATAGGTCTCTAGGACCCAAAATAATAAAAAACATAGAAGTACAACCTAGGAACAAGCTCGACCAAACCTTAGAATGGGTTATCAATGGATTCGAAAATTTCTTAAGAAGCTAGTAGAGAACTAGAAAAGGCAGAACCGCAATGATCTTCACCAAGAACTGCAGATATGTTCACAGAGACCTGAAGGGGTCATCAAAATAGGGTTTTGGAAAGACTTTAGTCACTTTGGATATGCCAATTGGTCTGTGCAGTGAAACTCGGTGACTACGCAAGAGTGAGACCCGAGAATTGTTCTCCAATAAGCAAGGGATATGCTGAATGTTGTTTACCAGATAGAACATGTTTAAGGGGTCCACAACGAACTTGAGAAAAGATTCACATGAGCTTGCACACAGATGTTGAAATGCCTTTGAACAGACCTGAAGGCCACCAACAACAATCTGGGATTAGAATTCTTAAAACACCAGAAAGGGCCTGAGCTGAAAGAAGAAGTGCCTCGGAAGAAGCTATTTCTCATTTAAGCCATCGAAGATCTTGAAACACCTTACATCGGCCTTGTTGGAGATCTTAGCACAAAAAGAACTGGACTTGGGATTGGGACGGGGCATTAAAACCATTTATTAGAAACCTTGAACTTCGACTTTTTCGGGACTTGTCCTCACGGCTTCAGGACCTCAGGGATTTCAGGGAGACGAAAAGAGACTACGATGACCCCTAAAGGATCCAGCAACGAACTCCCATGAAGTTTCGGGAAATGCTGCAGACGTTCATGAGAAGGTCTAAAACGAACTTGTGAGGGCCGCAAAATTGAAAGTGGCTTTCAATGCTTGAGAAATGGATTCCAAATTTCCACAACGAGGCCTTATACTAATAAGCGGTGAAACCTCAAGAGGTCAAGAGGACAATCAGAACCTACGAAACAAACAAAGCTGGAGATAATTCGAAGGAGACCTCCTGTAGCCTTGCACGCAAATGTATTCCACATGCATTTGAACAGCCCTCAAATTAACTCCAAAAGGACCTCAAATCAAAGTCTGCATGGGTCTTAACAAATCCATGAGATTACCTCGGTAGGGTAGAGTTATAAACTAGAAAGGGAATCAAAATTGACTGGTAGGATTCTACCAAGAATCTTTAGAAATTATTAAATGAGTCTTATCAAAAGCCTGTAATTGTAACACAAACTTTCTACTGAGGTCATATCATCACTGCAGCCAAAACGTAGACCTGATCAGGGTCATCATAGAATGATATCAACGGAGGTCAAAAAGAACGTCAGCAGAGGTCTGCCAAGTCCTCAGCAGAAGTTGGACTTCAGCAGAGGACTGCCAAGACCTCAACAAAGACCCAAAAAGACTTTAATTGAAGTTAAAAAAAGACCTCAACAGAGGTCTGCCTAGACCTGCATTGAGGTCCGAAAAAAAAACCTTAACTGAAGTCTGAAAAAAACCTTAACTGAGGATTGAAAAGACCGTCATTCAGGTCTGAAATAATCTCAACTGAAGTCTGAAATTACCTCAACTGAAATCTGAAAAGACCTCAATAGAGGTCTTCTAAGAAACCCAACAGAGGTTTGGAAAGGGCTAAACAAAGGTCTGCCAAGGGCCTCAATAGAGGTTCGCCGAGGGCCTCAACAAAGGTCTGCCAAGGGGCTCAACAGAGTTTAGAAACAGAGGCCTCAACAGAATTCTGCCAAAGGCCTCAACAGAGGTCTGCCAAAGGCCTTAACAGACGCCTCGATAGAGATCTGCCAAGGGCCTTAAGGGAACATCCATAAATGACGTAGCATGTTTTTGACCAATTTTATACTCCAATCGTAGCGTATTTTGCTATAACTAATACAGACCGGTCCCCACTTCTGAAAACCCCCTCCAAACCCCCAAAATGCTACGTCATTTATGCATGCTCCCTATCAAAAATCTACCAAGGGCTTCCGCAGAGGTCTACCAATGGCCTCCACAGAGGTCTACCACGGGGCCTAAACAGAGGTCTCCCAAGAGCCTCAACAGAGGTCTGCCTAGGGTCTCAACAGCGGTTTACCAAGGGCTTAAACAGTGGTATGTCATGGGGCCTAAACACGGGTCTGCCAAGAGCCTCAACAGAGGTCTGCCAAGAGCCTCAACAGAGGTCTGCCAAAGGTCTCAACAGAGGTCTGCCAAGGGCCTCAACAGAGGTCTGTCAAGGGTTTCAACAGATATTTGTAAAGAACTTAACAGAAGATTCTACCAAGGGCCTCAACAGAGGTCTGTCAAGGGCTTCATCAGAAGTCTACAAGACGTTTGGACGTCAGCAGAAATCTAAACTCCTGCAGAAGTCTTCAAAGACCTCAGCACAGGTCTGCCAAAACCTAACCAGAGGTCTGCCAAGAACCTCAACAGAGGTTTGCCAAGGGCCTTAAGGGAAAATCCATAAATGACGTAACATATGTTTGACCAATTTTATACCTCTTCCTCCACCTCGTAGCGAATTTTGCTATACCTAATGCCAGGCCGGTCACCACTTCTGAAAACCCCCTCCTCCACCTAAAATACTACGTCATTAATGCATGTTCCCTAAAAAAGTTCTTCCAGGGACCTCAAAAGAGGTATGTCAAGAGCCTTAAAAGAGGTCTGCCAAGGGCCTCAACGGATGTCTGCAAAGACCTTAACAAAGGTCTGCCAATGACCTTAACAGAGATCTGCCAATGACCTTAACAGAGGTCTTCAAACACCTCAGCATAGGTCTGCCAAAACCTAAACAAAAGTTTGCAAAGACCTTAACAGAGGTCTGCAAAGACTTTAACAGAGATATAGTCTGCCCCTCAACAGAAGTTTGCCATGAGTCTGAACAGAATTCTGTCAAGAGCCTCAACATAGGTCTGCCAAAGGTCTTAACAGAGGTTCACCTAGGGATTTAAAGTACGATTTACTTTGGTGCGTTTCCATTAATTTAAACTCAGATTTCTTCAACGTATTATATGCCATGGATCTCCACAGCAGTCTGCCAAGGTTAAGCGGATCTGAACAGAGATTTATGAAAGACCTCTACAAAGGGCTGCCTAGGACTTCAACAGAGGTCTGTAATAACCTCATCAGAAGTCTACAAGAAGTGTGGAATTCAGCAAAAATCTAAACTCCTAAAGAAGTTTTGAAAGACCTCAACGCAGGTCTGCCAAACCTAAACAGAGGTCTGCCAAGAACCTCAATAGAGGTCTGTTTTTTTTTAATGCTTTCTTAAAGTGATGTTTAGCCTGAGCTTGGTTCATCACTAACCTCAGTTGAGCGATCGTTGAAATTTTTCTGAGACGAAACAAAATCTCTGGCACTCGATTTCCGTTGGTGATTAGTCACCAAGTGGCAATCGACACACGTCGGCGATTGCCACTCGATTGCATAACAAAGACCGACTTTTAACGTCTTGGCAGACGGGCGAACCACTTTTGGGGTATTGGAATTGGCACACTACTTGCTGAGGTCTTTCAAGTCTTCAACTGGAGTTTTAGACATCTGCTGATGTCCAGCCTTCTTACAGACTTCTATTGATGTTCTTGCAGACCTCAGTTGAGGTCCTTGACAGATGTCCTTCTTCTTATTTATTTAATTTAATAATTTATTTGGCTAAGATCTACCAAGACCTTAGCACAGACTATCGGGTCTTGAACGAGCAAGAATATATAGAGGTGTCGAAAGAGGCCCAAATCAATGGTTTAATACTCCCAAAAAGGATCACATGCTCGTGTTAGGATACATGCTCGTGAGTCATTGATTCTTTGATTTTTATGATGATTTTGACAATGCTTCAACAAGTTTTCAAATAAATTTGTTACAAATTGTGAGTTTTACCTATTGGAATCTATACGTAGAGATAATTCCGATCGATTGATGCAAAAATTTTGAAAATGTATCATTAAATAGCCGATTTATAATCGTTCAAAACCTGATCACTTTTCGTTACATGTTCATTTTTCATACCCGCAAAGTGTACCTCCATATAAACCAAAAATAAAGTCCTATGTCCAAAATGGTGAACGAGTTATGGTAAGGGCAGTACCTAAACTGAGATCTGCTGGGAATTGGGAGAAGTTTATCAATGTTTCTGTAGGTTCCTCCATGGTCTCATAAAATACCAAAAAGGACCCATCAGAATTTTTATTGAACCTCGACAGAGATATGCCACAGTTTTAAGCATCTCATTAGGGCTTCAATTGTAATTTTCTACGGTCTCAATAGAGCTTTTGTGAGGTTTCACCAGGGTCATACATGGTTCTAAATGGGGTTGATGCCTCAATGTAGTCCGCAGAATCTTTAAAAACCTTAAATCCCACTGGAGAAGCCTGCAGGAGATAGATCTTGGAGTTTAAAGTCATTCACATCACGATATTCATGGGTTCATTAAGAAACATTCTCATCGATCATTCTACACAACATCCCAATAAAAATCCATCCATCACCTAACCTACACTCACGCACAAGAAAAACCAAAACAAACGCCCACCCACACACACACACACACGCACAAACGCTTGGACTTGCTAACCACGCCCACCACGCCGACCTAGCCGACCGCTCTCTGACCGACCTGTTTTTACCTACTGTAGATTTTTTATCGACAGATCCCGGGAGAACCTGTCGTCCAACCGCAGCCGGGACTATCCCCGGGACAGCATGGCCGTGCGGGACGGCTCCGAAATGGTCGTCTCCGATGTGTGCGTCAAGGGCGAGAAGAAACGCCACCACCATCACCACCACAAGAGCAGCCACCGAGGAGGCGGAGGCGGAGGAGGCGGAGGAGCAGGAGGAGCCGAACGCGGCGAAGGCCAAGGAGCGGAACGAAGCCGCAGCAGCCACCGGGACAGCAATGGAGACTTCCGGGAACCAAACATCATGGGCAGCGGCAATGGAAACGGACGCCGCGGAGACCACCGTCACTATTGACACCATCGAATGGTAATCACTATCAAAATAGAGGGACAAAAGGACGGCACCGAGGCTCTGATGAGCCCGCTGTGGGAGTGACCACCCAAAAAAATTTGCTCTTCTTACTTTGGTTGACTTTTCTCAACTAACCTCACTTTTCCCGCTGTCATTTTCTGTTTCGTTGTATGTATTTATTTATTATTCGATAGTTTCACTAGTTGATAGGAATTTTCTCACATCTTCAAAAAAAAAACCGGAACTAAATCCAAAACCTCATTTAACCAGACGCACTTTAGCAGTTAGGCCATTGATAGTCAAGACACAAACCCGTTCTAGCCTTATCTTTCGTTTGACAGTTTTGCACAACCCCCTTGACGACGTAATACACTGAAAGAAATTTTCTTCTCATTTTGATTGTGATTTACCAGGCGATATTAGAATAATATCTTCCCACCCCGTGATCCCCCCCCTCCCCCCTCCCGCTCCCATTAAGCTTACAAACGCAGGACAAAGGTTGGAAAATTTCTTTCAGAAAATTTGCTTTTCGCTTCGAAACCCCGAAACGGGATCGATCTTGACCGCGTCTAAACCAACGACACAGCACCGAAGCCCGCGTCGGCATTGACTGCCGAGCGGTGTGAGCAGTTGTTAAACAAAAAAAACAATCCAATCAAAACAGATGGCGTTTAGTCACGGTCGACATTGCTGCCCGTAGCACCCCCGTATCCCCTATTTCTCACGCTTTTCGTTTATCGATTATTATTTTTTCATCATAAGTCGTTAATTTATTACCGTTCATTCGTTTGATTAATCCTTTATTTTTCGGTTTCCTTATTACTGATACGATTTGACCTTCCGTTTGTTATCACTTTTTGTTTTGTTAACGTTAACCTTTAAGGAGCTAAAGTGAATAGAATAAAAAAAAACTAATGGAAATCTGCAAGGCTTCGCTTCTCTTTCAAAGAGTGTGTAAAAATGGAAGACCTTTATGCAAACAAAAAAAAAACGGGAAAATATGACACATAAACACTCACACACCCACACTTACATGTAAAGAGACAAAGATTAGGAGAAACGAAAGAAATACGAAACCGTAGTTGCAATATGGAGTTCTAGTGAACAAGTTAGGAAAGGCAATCAATTTTTGATTTTTTTTTATGTTTCATTAGGAAAGTGATAGGAAAATTCGAAATAATCACCAAGGTGACCGTACTGTTTTGTTAGAAATAGTGCCATTAGAAAGGCAACCTATCCCCAGTGTTTATTTTTTTTTCACGAATCACCCCCCGGATTAAGGTTTTCTCGGATCACTTGTCGGAATCCAGTTATATAGGAAAAATGCATTTCATTAATTTTTCGTTTGATGACATTTTGTGTGTAAGGAAAATATTTAGGAAAAATTAAACAAAATAAAATGCGCGCTCAAGTACGTTGTTATAAAATTAAACTAAACCAGATATGAAATCTGAAGCAATCAACCTATGTTAATCGCCTAAACGCAAACTAACACGAAAATACACGCTCACACAAACACATACAGCATGAGACGATTGACAGTGTTTTTGTTTTAGCCAGCCCTGTCGGGCTGGTATTTAGGAGTAAACATAAAACAATGACGACAGGCAACCGGAAAGTTACTAAAGAAATAAAAAAAAATGTAGTTGCGATTAAGGACCAAAATATGTCACTGCAGTTTTGCATTGACATAGAAGTAACAGATTTGAGGATAGTGAAGAAAATACGCATAATTTCAAATGTAATAGAAAGAAGTTTGCTTTCCTCCTTCGGAAGAGGAGAAGAGCGAACGCAAATGTTGTAAATAGTAATCGTATTTAATAAAAAGTAAAAATTATCGAAAATAGTTGACAGCTGCTGTGCGTTTTTGTCATATCCGAAATTTCATCCCGTACCCTCCGGGTGGGTCGACAAGAAAACGGCCCGCAGTAATCCATTCCGGTATTTCAGAGTGGAAATGTGGGTGTTACACGTTCCATAGGTAGTTCTCCCATCAATTGCTCTAAGACCTTCGGTTTCCACCGAAAGCATCTGGTGCAGGCATGAACGGCTCGACGAGCAAGATTTCTGATGAGAAGCTGAACTGAAACTTCTGTTGCGTGGGCCAAAAGCGAAACGGTTGCGCCAGCCAATCTGGCCCTTTCCACCAGACTGAACAGTCACGCAGTTGTGCCGGAGACATCCCTCTAGAAATCATGTCTGCGAGGTTCTCCGAACCTGGTACATGGGACCACATACCAATGGCTGTACTTCGCTGGATTTCCGAACACCTGTTAGCAACGAAAGTTTCCCAGCGGGAAGGGTTTGCGGCTATTTGGTATAGCGTGATCTCCAAATCTGTCCAGAAGAAGTTTTTTGCCTTGAGTTTCAAACTGGAATCGACCTTTTCGAACAGGTGGCTCAATAAAAGAGCATCGCATAGTTCAAGACGAGGGAGACTACCAGTGGACGATACTGCACGGATATATACGCAGGCTCCATACGCTCTTTCCGTCAGAAAACCCATGAACCTCAAGACACGCAACTTCCGACGTTTCTATGACCCATCGAGGAAATTTCAGGTCTGGTACATGACACAAACTGTCTCGAAGTTCTATCCACAAACGTTGACGAGATTCGGTAAGTGGCTCCATCCATTCACAACCTTCTCGCCATAGATCTTGAAGGAACAATTTTGCTTGAATCAACACCGGTTCGACCAAACCTAGAGTATAAAACAAACGGGCGATGTCCGAGAGCACAGTTTGCTTGGTAATCGGTGCATCCCATTGAAGCCCTAGTGCCTTTATGGGAGCAGCAGTCGAATCGAGCTCGAAAAGTGTACGCTCATCTCTTAGATTAGGCGGGACGCTTGCTAGAATTGTAGAATTGTTCGAGGCCCACTTGCGAAGAAGTAGACCAGCGGAACCTTCCTCAACACTATCGGTTCCGGTGAGCATGTCATCCATGTAAAAGTCACGACCAAGAACTAAAGCTGCAGCTCGATGGCTCTCTGATATATCTTCAGAAAGTTGTTTGAGACATCTTGTAGCGATGTACGGAGCCGAAGATGTCCCGTATGTCACCGTTGTGAGTTGGAAAGCTTGCAGTGGGTGCGACGGAGAATCCCTCCATCGGATGCGTAGCGGTGATTGGTCGGACTCCCGTACAAGGAATTGCCAATACATTTTTTCAAAGTCGGCTATGATGATGAACCGTGGTGTTCGAAATTTAAGAACAATGCTTAAAAGATCATCCTGGACGGCCGGACCAACCAACAGTGCCTCGTTGAGAGAATGACCACTATCAGTTGGGCATGAGGCATCGAAAACCACGTGCAATTTAGTGGTGATACTATCCGGTCTAACGATTCAGTGGAACCCGAGCTAGGAAGTTAGTCATCTATTAGCTTCATATGCCCTAACTGTTCGTAGTCATGTATGAACGCAGAGTATGCTTCCTTTAGCGCTGGACTAGCGTTGAGCCGGCATTATAAGGAGTAGAACCAACAATCAATACGAAACTAACGATTTTAAATTGGCTCACTACTTGACTAGCCTATTGGTCCCAAGCAAACGATTAACGTACCCCATTATAGTCGAAATTCTAGTACTACGCAATGTTTGTTTTGATTCGCTATGAAAGTTTGACAGATAAAATGAGGGGTTATTGGTTTTTCCTTTGTTTCGAGGGGTGAATCGATTAGCTTGGGACCGAAGAGAGTACCAGAGCTGAGCCAAAAAGTTGAGAACGTTATTTCGGGACCTTCTAGTCTTAGAGTTACCTCTATGGTAGAACCAACGATCGGCAATGTCCCTTGAATTCCCAAGTATCGAGATTACTGCAGGTTTAAAACGACCAGATGAATCCCTTTTCGTCGTTTGTTTGAAATATTCCTCGCACTCCGCTTCTTCGATGGAATACGTACTCTTGATATGGCAAGACTCAACCTCCCAGAACCGAGCCAGCTGATCCTCGATTGATGGTTTATTGGCAATGTTTTCGACATTAGCGACTAGTGTAGAAGGTATCTGCGTCTGACTCTTCCCTGAAACTACCTAACCCAGGGCGGTATTCTGCAAAATGGGTGCTCCGGTACTGTGTTTGATCTGACCGTTACAAAGAAGGTCGCAGAAGATGTTAATGCCGAAAATCAAATCGATGGGAGCTGATTTGTTGAAAGTCGGATCCGCCAATACTATATCGGATGACCAACTGGATGTGGAGACGGCAACATGTTGATTCGGCAATTCCAGTATCAGCTTCGGAAGTACGTGGAATTTCCAATTCTCCTCAAAATCAGCACGGTGTGACTATGGATGCAAATGATGGTGGTGTGTTTAGATGAGGTAGTCGAAAGGCCAACACCGCTAATTGGAACGAATTATTTGCGAACGACGTAGCTTCAACCAACAAAGTTGAGCTGTGATCCGGAATCCAGCAGCGCGCGAGCTCAGACGAAGTGAAGACAAGAGCCGTCGACAACAATACAGTTGCAGGAACGCTGAGTTGAGCTTCGGCGAAGTGGCTTATTTGGAGGGTAGGGACCGCGGTGGCTTGGGTTTGATTTTCTTCTGGTCGAGAATGGTTCTTCGGTGGAGCAGACGATGGATGGTGGTTTTGAGTTGACGATGATGTTGAGGGTGAATCCGATGACGAAGAATTGGTGGAGGATTGAACCGATTGAGTATTTGGGACGACAGTCCTTTGGTGCAGCATCGTATGGTGTATCTGTTGGCATACCCGGCAGGTTCCACTCGTACAAGTTTTAACGAGATGCGAAGGCGAAAGACAGTTGATGCAAAGAGCATTATTTTTGGTGGCATCAAACCACTGCGTATGAGTCATTTTTCGAAAGACTTCGCATTGGTATGGTGAATGAGCAGAGTGTTTGCAAAAAGGGCAGGATTTCTGAGCTGTCACTGCAGAATGCACCACATTTTGCTTGGGAGTTAACGAGGTGGGACGCTGTGAGGAGGAACGAGACGCATTTGCTGCACGAGACTATGACTGCGTAGAAATTCAATGAGTTCGGTGTATGTAGGCACCACCGTTGACCGTCTGTGCGTCTCCCAGTGACGCAGGGTGGCTGGATCTAGACGAGAGCTGGGCATGAAGACCAATAACGTACTCCAATTAACCACTTTATTCGAGCACTTAAAATGACGTTTACTACCACTCGAACATTGAAATAAAACATCATTTTGAGATTTTTTCTTCTAGAACCTCGAGAAAACTAGCCAACATTTGTTTGGTCCAGTTTTGTGAAACCGCTGGTAGAAAGTCACGCCAAAACTGCTTGACAAAGTGGTCAATTCTTCGGCTGTTCTCCCGCTTTCTCTAGCATCCTCAAATTACGCTCGAAGGCATCGATCAGACGATTCAAAGCTTCATGACATTCCCTTTTTATTGGATCGATGATAAAAAGGGCTTCGACATACGATTTAACAATTAAGTATTTATTCTCGTATCGCTTT